AAGTTTTAGAGAGTTTGGGTTCAGATGGAACGAACAAGTTGCTCGGGTCAGTTCTTCGATTGATAGAAAAGATGTTGCTGAGCCCCGCCAACGACATGATCCAGTGGGCATTCCTGCTAAATGCTTTCAGCCACAATACCGACCCATTGAATATCCTCGTACTCCAAATAATCCTCACCAATGCTACTTCCCTCCACAAAATCCCTGATGTCATACCTCACCTCCCCAGTACTCTATTCACAATGCACCGCCATATGCTCCAGACTCACAAAACCCGCAACGGCTTGCACTGCCTCCACAAATGTCTTACCCACCTCAATAAGCATATCAACCCCCTACCCGAAAGAGGTTCCAACTAAGACCGGAGTACAAAATGAGAAGGCAACAGCAAAGAAAAAAATCTTTCACTCCAATCGGAGAATCATACACAAGCTTGTTTGAAAAGTTAAAACAGTCTGGCCTGATTGAGCCGCTCATCAGCTATACTCCAGACCCATATGCAAAAGGTTTTGATCCTACTGTACAGTGCATGTACCACTCTAGTGTCCAAGGGCATAACATTGAAGATTGTCATGCTTTGGAAATGGAGTTATAAAGAATGATTCAAGAAGGGATAATTGTGGTCCAGAATAGTGACACCTAGAACATTGCACAAAATCCTTTACCTGCACATGATGATGCACACTTTTTGGGGAAGATGCATGGTGACAGAGAGTATGAGCATCCTTTTGGAAACTTGCTGACTAAGGTTAATGATATTGAAATTAGTGAAGGTCCTAGTAATTTTGATGTGCAACCTAGTGGCTAAGATGTCGAGCTTGGTAATTGGAAAAACACTCCTTTCTTGGCTAGCCAGGGAGGAGTTTTGGTGATTTATTTTGATGTCATTTCTGTTGTCCGGGTTATTTTAGGGTTGTAATCTGGATATTGTCTTGTGGCTCAAACCTTTCTTCTTCTTATTTTGCCTAGTTTGTTTAGTGGTAGTAAATCGTCTAGTTTTATCTATGATTGTTCCAGGGTTATAACCCATATCTGTTTTGCTTGTTTTGTTCAAAACTTTCTCATCATCTGTCTAATGCAATCTCCTGTTTTCTGTTAGTTCTAGTCAGTTTCGTTTAGGTCATTTTTTCTTTTATAGTTCTTTTCATGCTAACTCTAGTAACATGACATGCACACATAATTCTCAGCCTGGTCTTGAAAGTTAGTTTAATCATGAAGCAATGACACTGTTTTGAATATAATAAAAGGAGGCATTTGAGGAAACAAGTGAAGATTCACACATCCTTAGATAACCTGAAACTTGAATTGAGTGAAACTGAGGCAGTTAGTTTGGGAAATCAAGAGGTCGATAAGAGCATACAATAAGGAAATGTCTCTCAAGCAGTTTGAGGAAAATCAGTCAGTGCTGAAATGCATTCTTCCACATCAATATAAGGTTGAGTTAAGTCTGCTTCGAACTGGCAATGATCATTCATTGGGACAAAAGTATTGTCCGTCGACACTTTTTGTTTGTGATGATGCCATCAATAGATACTGTGTGTGATTTTTTTGCTTATCTTCAATTGCATATTTGTACTTGGCATTTTTAAGTTTGGTATGATGAAGGCATTTTATTCTGCTACCCAAACACTTTTATTCTTTGCTACCCATTTTGAGCCCTAATTTTTTGTTTCAAACCCCTCTTTTGGAATCAGAAATAGAATTAGGAACTAGAAAAGGAAAAGAAATGAGAAAAAGAAAAAGGAAAAAAAAAAGAAAAAGAAAAAAAGAGAAAAGAAAAAAAAGGAAAAAGAAAAAAAGAGAGAAAATGAAAAGAGAAAAAAAATAACTTTGTCTTTTGAACTACGTTTGACCTGATTCTTGTCACCTCAAGATACGTAGGCAGTCTTACGGTTCGGTCACACCAAATAAAATGTTTTATAATCTCACAAAGTCAAGAGTGAGACAGTTTTTCTTAGAAATCCCATCAAAGCAAAAATCCAAACAAAAAGCAAAAATAAAATAAAAATCCCCAGACTCCAAGAAACTGGGGCAGAAGTTTTAATTTTGCCAAAAGATCTGATTCCAAAAGTTGTAATTTTGAACCCATTCATCTTAAATTATTTTGATCCTTCACGCCACCCTTTCTTTCTAACCTTGTCCAAAAGCCTACATTACGGTCCAAAGAAAGATCTTCCGACCAATCTTTGAGGATGCCAAATCAAGTGTGTGGTGAAAGTATGATCTTCTTGCATCATGGGTAATACCTTGTTCTCATCACAAAGAGAAAAAATGATCAAATGAGAGAGTCTTATTGGTGAAAACCTTCATGGGCACCGTAAAGCGATGATGAGTTGAGAAAAGAGCAAAATGAGAGAGACTTGATGGTGAAAACCCTTCAGGGCACTACAAGTCGACTGAGAATTGTGGATCAGATGGGACAATTGAAGCGTTGAAGCCTAGTTTCACAGCGAAGAGGTACAATAAGAGTTGAATATTAGACTTGCTTGAGAGATTAGGATCCAAAGGTGCATGTCATGGTCATTAGAGTTGGTATCCACATCTGATAAGTTTCTACTTTGTAATTTTCTTGTCAGATATCATCTATTTCCCTTGTCCCTTATTTTGTTCCTCTTGTTTTGTTTGAGTCCCTTCTTGAGTCTGTTTGGTCAGAACAAATGAGAAATGACTTCAAAATTCGCTACCAACTTTTCAATTGCACAGAACGAATTTGGCTAGCACATCAAAGTGGCATAAGTCAGGGAAAAGTGGTATGCGAATTGAGTTGGTATCAATCAACATGCTTTGGGATTCATGTGAAATGCAAGGGTTCGGTAAATGTCAATTCATGAGCAAAATACAACAGATAGAGGAATATTGGGATTGAATGGAGAAGAGGTGTTTTCTGTGATAAGGGTTGAAAGAAAATGGGTAGTCGATAACAGTCAAGGTCGTCCAAGTTGAAATCAAAGTTATTTTGGAAAGTGTAGAAGCAGCTGCCCTCAAGGTCAAGACCACAAACTAACCACCACATTTAAACTCACAAGTTTTCTTTGTTTGAAACAGGAATAAAGTAGTGCAAGCAAGTTGGTTCAAAAACAAGAAAGAAAAAAAAGAAAAGAAAGAAAAGAAAAGAAAGAAAAAGGAAAAAGAAGAAAAAGAGAAGAGTCGACAAAGAAAAGTTCCTCAAATCTTTTCTCTTACTTGTCTTGCTATTGTGCATAAAATGTTGCCATTGCTCTTCACATTTTTCCTCCTAGGATAAAAGTCCTAGTATGATGGATTTTCTTCCCAATAAAATCTTAGTCTGATGAATCCTTCTCTTAAGATAGATGACCTAGTCTGAAGAATTTTCTCCTAGGATTAAATTTTAGTCTGATGAGTTTTTCTCATAAGATAAGAGACCTAGTCTGATGAATTTTCTCCTAGGATCGAAATCTTAGTATGATGAATTTTTCTCCTAAGATAAGAGACCTAGTCTGATGAATTTTCTCCTAGGATCGAAATCTTAGTCTGATGAATCTATCTCCTAAGATAGAATACCTAGTCTGATAATTTTTCTCATAGGATAGAATCTTAGTCTGATGAATTTTTCTCCGAAGATAGAAAACCTAGTGTCTTGAATTTTCTCCTAGGATCGAAATCTTAGTCTGATGAATCTTTCTCCTAAGATAGAAGACCTAGTCTGATGAATTTGCTAGTTAAAGTTTCTTGGTTTTACTCACAGAGACGCATATCCCAGTCAAGTCTTTATTGTTACTCTCATCATTGCATCAATAGCATAGGTGATTTACAGTTTTACTAATAACTCACAAATCTTCCTTGTGCAAACTGGGGCAGAAAATTTTGTTTGTTTTGTTGTTTTGATAGCAGACATCCACTTGGAGAACGAGAGAAGACATTTCAGAGTTCATTTTAGAGTCATTTTAAGTTTCAAGTCAGTAGCAAGCACCCACCTGGAGAACAAGGGAAGTCATTTCAAAATCCAATTCAACTTAGAAGTAGCAGAAGCTCGCGGCAAGAATGCGAGTCAACAGTCCGAGATAATCAACAGAAGTAATCTCAATTCCAAAAAAAAAAGAAAGAAAGAAAGAAAGAAAAGAAAGAAAGTGAATCCAAAATGCAGAAGCAGAAAAAAGATGTGAACTGCTCAAGACGTGGTTGAAGTTACAAACATGGTGTGTTCGGTGTTGATCCGAAAAGCTAAAGAAGAATGAACTAGCACCTGCAACTAGCAAGCGTCAGTCTGCATGAAGAACCATTCAAGACTCAAGAGAAGACTTATAGATAGGAATCTTGTAACTCATAGTTGACATGCTTAGTTAGTCTTTTTCGTTTTTTTTTGATTTTGATGTAATAACAGGACCACGGACCAGAACCTCAACGGCACCTTAATCGTCTCTCCACCTCGGTACACTCTATCACTGTTCCTACTTCTGAACTACACGTGACCTGATTCCTTTATAGCCAAGGATATGTAGGCAGCTCAGATACCAAGGCTCAGTCACATTCCCTTTTTCTCTTAAGTTTAGTCTCTCCAAATAAGGGCCGGGTCAAAAAACCTGTCTAGTCGTTCTTTATCTGAAAATACTTCGTATTTCCAGTCAAAGAGCGGCAGCTACAGACATGTGACTTTTGACCCTCCCCAAGATTTTATATATTTTAGCATTTAAATACTTAGTTTAGGTCTAATATAATTATTTCAACTAATTTTGACTCTTTTACATTATTTTTATCACAAAAATAGTTCCATATTTCTCTATTTAATTCAAGTATTAGATATTTTCAGAATATATTACTTCGAACCTATTTTATTTTAATATAATCTTTGAAAAATACCAAAAATAGTTTCAACTTTAATTTTTAGTTTTATTTTAAATATTAGTAGTTTATTAAAATCAATTAGTAAGAGTAATTTTATATCTTTTATAAGTATTCAATTAATTTAAAAAAAATTTGAATTTTCAGCTTTTTTAGCCCATTTTTTTTGTAGGAAACTAGAGCCCAATTTTGAAGCCAAATCTTGTTAGCCAATATCCCATTTTCGCGAGTTCTTCACTGAAAATACACAATACACATAGTACTATACACTCAAAAATCAGCCGTGGAATCCCAAAAATAAGACCAGATCCGCCGCTTAACACCCATCATAGACCCCCCCTGACTTCATCTTCCTTCAACTGTCCACACTCACACACATGACCACAACTCCGGCGAACTCGTCGGAAAACACAACGACCACAGACAGTCGCATCTCCAAACCCGGCCGAAAAACAAAAATAAAACAGCTCCCTCTTCGAACAAAAACAGCAGATGCAAAGTCGAGTTCAAGATCACCAGAAGCAATTGCCGATCGAGATTTCCGGTCGCAGGTTCATTTGCTCGGTTTCTGCTGCTGGATGTTTCGTTGCTTTTATCCCCACAGACCTGTAAAATCAGAGCTCCAATAATCAGAAAGAAATCAGTTCACTAAGGTCTATCTCCTTTTCTGTTTCTTTTTGCTTTCTTCTCTATGTGGTATTTTGTGACTTTGAAATATGATATTAGCCATTTGGATAGTATCTTTAGATTTGTTGTTGCATTAGTTATGTCCTTGAGTTTCACCATAGCTTCAGTAAAGTCTTAGATTTTGGGTGCAAATTGGTTATTTAGATTTGGCTTCATCATAAGATTAGAAACTCGGCATATCTCGACCAAAATGAATAACACCTCTTTAATTTCCTGGATTTAAATTTTATTCATGTAGTAATCTTTATACGTACTTTTATATGGGATTGCAGTAGTGTCAAGCTTAGGATTTTCCTTTTGTAGTTAGTCTGTTATTGTCAGTTGGTTCTAAAACACAAAAGAAATAAAATAAAATAAAAATTAATTTAGTCATGTTTAGTGGAAATATTTGAATAGAACAGTGAATTCGAATGGCTTCATAGAGCTATAAGGTTAGCCACCATATAGTATGTAGTTCACTGGAATTGAGAGATGATATACATGGATGAGGTTAATCAAAGTCAAAGGCTCTTTTCACGTTTCAAGACCACCTACTCTGTCATTCCATTTTAGTTTAGTTGACAGCTTCTTTTAAATGCTTTTACGTGTTGAATAATTGACTTTGGTTGATCATTACGAATCTTAAGTGGTTGTTTACGTTTCAAGACCACCTACTCTGTCATTCCATTTTAGTTTAGTTGACAGCTTCTTTTAAATGCTTTTACGTGTTGAATAATTGACTTTGGTTGATCATTACGAATCTTAAGTGGTTGTTTGGCCGTAGGGATCGGGCTTGGTCAAATTGTCGAAATGAAAAAAATTAAAAGAAAAGTATGCCATGAGTTGCTCTCTTTAGTTTTATTTTATTTACTTTTCGAGTAGGAGCATGCTTAGGCCGTCATCATGTGGGTGGGCAAGCCTTAGGATATTTGTTAGTTTTGAGGCGAAAGGTCGTTCCCTTAGTTAAATTTAACCGAGGAATGCCCCGAATGATTTGTATATATTTTATCCGGGGTATGCCCCGAAGTACATGTAAATGAAGGCCAGAGATTGGATGACATGAGGAAGCGTAGAATAGAACTTTAATATTTTCTTTTATTTATTTTATCTTTTTAGGTGGGGACGACCTCTAGCCTCTTGTGTGTTTATTTTTTTTTTATTAGGTGGGGACAACCTCGTGCCTCGTGTGTGTTTATTTTGCTTTTCTGTGATTTCACCTGAACTTGAATATTTTAAAAGCCAATTAGATTGAGTGCAACCGTACTAGTTACGGGACTTGGGGAGTGCCTAACACCTTCTCCCCGAGTCAAATGAACCTCTTACTCGAATCTCTGGTGCAGACTTAGTTTTGGAGTCCAAAGTGTTTTAAGAGGAAAAAATTATTTTTAGAAAAAAACGGTGACCTGACACACCGAAATCAAATGTCAAGGAAGGGGACAGGAACACTAAGTTCTTCCACGCACAAGTGAGAGGTAGGAGGAAGAGACTTCAGCTTAACAGAATTCAAAACAGTGAAGGAACCTGGATTGAAGAAGAACAAGAAATTGCAGAAGAGGCTATTAAATACTACGAGGAACAGTTCACAGAAACAACTACTAATTCATCATTGGATATCGTAGAGCATGTTCCTAATTTAATCACATTAGGACATGGTGAGGGCTTTTTTCAATGGTCACGAGCTACCCAAGTGTGTAACACACACAAACATAGTTCTACTACCAAAGAAAAAAGAAGTTACCACTTTTTCTGATTTAAGACCAATAAGCCTCAGTAATTTCTCAAATAAGGTTATATCAAGAGTGGTACATGAAAGGCTAGTGAAATTTCTCCCAAGTCTGATATCAGAGGAACAGGCAGGTTTTGTTAAGGGAAGGAATATAGTAGAAAACATCCTTCTAACTCAGGAGATAGTGACTGACATTAGGCTTAGAACTAAGGCTGGACCTAATGTTATCCTGAAGCTAGATATGACCAAAGCTTATGATAGATTATCTTGGCTATTCCTAACCAAGGTACTAAGAAAGATGTGATTCACAGAAAGGTTGATAGGGATTGTCTTTGGATTAGTGTCAAACAATTGGTATTCTATTCTAATCAATGGTCAAGCTCATGGGTTCTTTAAGTCCTCAAGAGGAATAAAACAAGGTGATCATGTATCTCCAACTTTGTTTATATTGGCAGCAGAAGCGTTATCTAGGGGTCTCAATGCACTACATACTAACCTGTATTTTTGTGGATTTGGGATGCCAAAGTGGAGTCCAAAGATCAATCATTTGGCGTATGCAGATGACATGATTATTTTCTCATCCTCAGATGAAACATCTCTGATGCTGATTATGCAAGTGCTGAAGGCATATGAAACTGCATCTGGGCAGCTTGTTAACAAGACCAAATCAGCTGTGTACCTGCACCATTTAACAGACATGGAAGTGGTCAACAAGGTGGAAAGGATCACAGACACGCATAGAAATGATTTCCCTATCATATATCTAGGTTGTCCTATATTTTATGCAAAGAGAAAGTTGGAATTCTATCAGCCCCTAATTACTAAGGTAATGGACAAACTGCAATCATG